AGGAAATCTAAAGATCTGACTCCTGGAGAGTTTACTTGCGTCGACACAATGACAGTTTGTCGACGCTTTATTAAATTCACAGGCAAAAAATACGCGAGCGAATATGTTGAATAACTTTTCCTTTTTAACCCGACTACGGCAAACCAAAAGGAGGGTTATGATTTGACTGAGGTAAGTATATATGTATGTTCTAACTTTCCTACATAACTTTTTTTTAAACATTGCCCTCACTTTAGGATTAAATTATCCTGTATTGTAAGGACGTTTTACAAACATAAATTGCACGAGGACAAACACCCAGATGTTTGTTCTAAACTATTTATAATAATTTTTATAATCTTTGGAAGCGTCCTGATTGTCCACAAAATATTGGCATAAATTTAACGTCAAACGTGAATATGGCGCCATGTAGAGGGCATAAAGTCATTAACCACAAACATTCAATTAATAATGCTGTTTTAGGTATGAAATGAATAGGCTTAATTATCACATTTTAAATGTACAGTACCTGGAGGACCGAGCTTTGCTCGGTTTGTTTTATAAGAAAATATGAACTGGTGATTTTCTCAAAAGAAAGAACTTTAAATAACAAAATCATCTGGAACGACAAAAAATAAAAAATAAAGAAAGCAATCATCTGGAACCAAAAAAATAAGTGTGTAAATGATCGTGACACGAACCACGGCCTTCTGTTTTTCATTCCCAACTGACAAATTCAAAATTGGGATAAAACGACATTTTCTAAAAATGAAACCTAGCCAGATCGATTTTTCGCCCCCGAAACCACGCACATACTAAATTTCATGAAAATAGCTGGAGCCGTTTCCGAGATTCCGATAATATATATACATATTACATTGATAATATATACACACTTACTCTAACAAAAAATACGTTATAACAGTAGTAAGGAAGCTTATGGGAGTACTAAGCTATAAGGCAATGTAGTTTATTTTAATGTGACTTTCCAGTAGCTCGGTTTAGTTTTTGAACTTACTTTTTAATACAATGATATTATAGTGCTCTCTTTGTAAGTTGGAATATTTTAAAATATTGCTAAGCGCGCCGCTGTTAAACCGTTGGCTTCGCCGTCAGGGGTCATGGTTTCGATTCCCACACGGACAAGTATTTGTGCGGCCCACAGATTATATATAATGTATATATAATAGATACAAGTTATATGACACCTTAGCTAAAGATGATTGAAAATGAGCCAAATGGTTATTGATATCATTTCAAAAATTTCATTTTGAAATAATTTTTTTTTTACACTTAATATTGCTTTATTATTTCTGAGAAAGGGGTACAAAGTTTTTGCTTCACGTATTAATATATATAGGTTCTTAAAAGCATGACATTTCAAGTCTTCCTTACCAAAAAAAGTGTATAATAATATATTCTAATAAAATCTGTTCGAAAGTGTTCGTACCTATATATTTAAAATTGCAGGCGACAAAATTGGTAAAATAATTTTAATGAATGTGATCAATGATATTATACATATATATACAAATAAGAGTTAGATATGACACTAGCGCACCAAAACTGAAGCACTAAAAGTACGCAAATTAGTGTAATTACAATTTTTAACGCCGCGCAGTATCCGTCATCTTTATTAAAACATCATTGAATGTAATGACAATATAGTGACATTATGATTGTAAGAATTTTGGTAAATTCTATTTTACTGGAATTTTTTGGGAATACTACACAAACAATCACAGAGGTAACCTCGAAGTAATTTCTAAATAATCACCCAAGTGTTTTCTTTAAAATCATCTTACTTTGAGAACGAGGGTATTGAACATTGTATATTAACGGTATCTTCTCAACTAACCAAACAGTATTTTCTAAGCGGCGATGTCACGGCGAACGCATTTACTGGTGTAACCATCACTTCGCCGATTATGCCGGAATTTTCCAATATGAAAAAACGATGGATTACAAACAAGTACTATTTAATACAAAAGGTAAAATAGGTGAGAAGAGAAGCAACGCTTTTGCAACTCTACGTTTGTGTTGCCAATCTTAATGGGTGTCGATTATCACTTAACATCAGGTGGACCGCCAGCTTGCTTGCTTGCTATTTTCATTTAAACAAATTGTCAATATCTGGGAATAATTGGCATTATTTCGACGTTTTTACGAAGTTTTTCTTATCCGAAAAACCTTTGAGATTTAGGTAAAACATTTATTTTCTCAACTTTATAAGAAATTAGTCACAGAGAAAATACAAAAATATTGTAAATACAACAAAACTTTCCGACTTGTTGTAGCTAGTGGAGTAATTGTAAAAATAGTTATGAAAACCAAAGTAGGTACCAAAACAAAATAAATAACTGACTGTACAAAATGTGAAGTAGGAATTAATTGGGCTTAGGGTGTGTGCGAAACCCTCTTTGCGCGGTTCCGAATCGCACTTTGCCGATTTTTTTTAATGATTATATTAGCTTGATGGTTCAAATCTTCGATTTATCCTACGTTTACACGAACTCATAGAGACCCTACAGAATTCATGCGTCTAGCGGCGACGTCGTTGCATTATTTGTCGTGGCTTAGTACCTCCGTCGGTGCTTTTACGCGTTATCGCTGCGACAATATTTGCCCGCTCGTTTGTGCGTCCGGCGGGGCGGGAAAATAAAAACACAATCTGTCCGATCACAGGAATAATGGCGGATATTTCATTTTAACATTTTTCCAGTTAAATTAATGCGCTTGACGCTTATAATAACTAAAAATAACGAAACATATTAGAGTTTCACCTTAATAGCCGTCACGTGTTGCCCTAAAATAATAAATGAAATAAAATCTTTTACGTGCAATATACTCAAATATGGCGCGCAGCATTTAGCGCTTTTAAAACCACCAAACAGACTCCAGGAGACCACAGAAGATCTTGTGTGTCGTTGATCGTAGAAGAAAGCGTGATGTAGAATTAGAATATTATCTACGTGTCCGAGTGAATTGATTCTGGGAAGGTGCTCATTAGATTATTGAGACGATAAGTAAAAAAAATATGTTTTTTGTGCGGTGAAGCTACGCAACAGTGTTCACTATTGCACGAATGGACAGGTCCGACCGGGTAAGTACCACGACCTTACAGAAAACCGGCGTAAAGTAGAAGTGTTACACTTCTGCGTAAAAGAGAAAACAAAAACCTTTTTTTTTTTTTGTAAATCAAGTTCTTGTTACAATCAATATATTTTTACATAACGTTAATCTTCTTCATGATTTTTTTCACTTGATTGAATTGACATAAATATTGGTATGCATGCACTTTGATGTCACGCGAAAAGCGCTGATATTAATCACTACATAGTATAAAACAAAGTCGTCCCGCTGTCTGTCTGTCCCTATAATTATATGCTTAGATCTTCAAAACTACGCAACGGAATTTGATGCGGATTTCTTTAATAGATACGGTGATTCAAGACGAAAGTGTATATGTATAATTCATGCATAACATATTAGAAAAAAACTGATAATTTTAGACGTTTCTAATGCGATGTCTAAAACAAACATTCAGCATTGCACCCGTGCGAAGCCGGGGCGGGTCGCTAGTAAAGAAATATAATATGATCCAATTTTTTTTACTGTTTTCAAAAATTTAAGAGATCATCTCATATACTACGGATTTCTAAATTGCCAAAAATGGATCACGTAGGAATACGTAAGTACCAATTATTAAGCTCGATTTAACATCAAGACATTTAGGGTACTACTATTAAAACACCGAAAAGATATTCACAATTGTTTATTTTTTCACTAGTAACAACTCACAGCACAAACACTTCCAAACTATTTTCTTTTTATATTATCGTATATATTTACACCATTTGTAATTATGTTTGCAAACAACATTTGTATAACTTGTTGGGAGACAATAAGTTTATAGTTAATACACAATTTCAGTCTTGGCAATTTTTTTTTAGTGTTTCAAAAGATTTCTGTTTCATAAAGGTATTTTTATTTTTAATTAACACTAATATAAAAATATTGTAAAGGTATATTTTTCGAACTATAATATATACAAACTTTTTTAACTTAATCCTTATTAGAACTTTTTGTGGTGAAACTGTATATAGTGTTAAATGAAACCAAGATTAAACAAATTATAGTTAAAAAGAGAAAAGGAATCTCACAGAAATTATTTTTTTTGTAACGAAAATGATAAGAAAAGATACTGAATATTAACCGTAGGTATCATTGAGAAAAATAATTATGATATGAGAAAATGAAACTTGATGGCAACCTCAATTTTAAAAGCTCATGTTATAATTAATAATTAAATAGTAATAAAACCAACTGAGTTCTAAATAAAATTAAGTAACTATTACAAAACAGGTGGCTAACTCCTGCTGCTTTTTATATTACAGTCCGGCAGACAGCTACAAGACATGCCAAATCTATATTTTGGTGACAGTTTTTTTTACCATAACAATTAAAACAACCAATTGTAAAAAAGTGTATTTATGTTTAATTAACATAAATAAGTGAGCAATAGCCAAATGCCCTTAATGAACAAAAAATTATAACTACCATAGCCAAAGGAGCACCAACAAATATAACTAATTTAATAATGTTTGTCAACTAAAACAAACATTTCATTATTTTACATTTGAGCTTGTTTAAACCCAAAAAGTCGGTTGGAAGTATCGAAATTTATCGAGAGATAATATTGTTGAAAACAAGGGTTGTGAAACCGAAAAACATATTTATTTTTATTTGCAAGAACGAAAAGTTATATCCATCACATTTCCTAAAAGTACATTTGGTGAACAATAACATTGTCAAATCTCAATAGTTACGCCATAATATTATAAACATCATGTATTTCGACTGTATTTCGCATTTTAAGATATTCAATGACATATTTCCATTTCCATCATTTGACATAAACAAAAAAATAAAACACTTAAGCATGAAAATAAACAGTGTACCCAGTGCTAATCAAGTACAATGACCGCTTCCGCGCCATTTGGTTGATGCTCACTTTGTCAGCTGGCATGATACAGGCCCGCCATAGCATCTTGCAATGCACGAAGACAAGGTAGAGTTGATGTGTAGCCCCCAGCCTTCTCTGTTTCGTTCTCTGCCCTATAAAATCAATAAAAATCTATCGTAGAATCTAACTTTTATGCTAATATTAATATTACTGCTATTGCTAAAAAATTGTACAACGACACGACTGTGCTATGTTTTTCATTCTTCTCTGAACAGGTATAATTTTATGAATAACTCACTACCATTATTAAGTCCCTACTTCACGCAGCTTAACTGTACATCTCTTACCCTAGGAAAGTTCATAGCTTTACTAAGAAAACTGAGAGGAGAATTAGGCAATACAAAGAAACATACCTGACATGATGCAGATACCCACACTTAATTATATTCTCTACAGATGGTGGGTCTGGGCCACATCTGTCTGGAATTATGGGCACCTCATATTTGTACAAAGGTCCCTCCTCTAACACAGGGATGTTTTGTTGACTACCCGAACCTCGGGTGAATTTTACCCCGGACGAGAATTGTGTGACCTGTAAAATTATACAATCTATTTATTAAACCTTAGCTATAAAACTGGTACTGACCTGCATATACTAAAACCTGGTTAAAATAAAATATTCGCAAGCTACCAGCATAACAAACAAGTCTGAAAAATGCTGGGCTCCGAATTTGAAGTAAAAATGTAAAACTAATTTTTCATTATTAATGAGTATTTTCATTTATAATATAAATATGACATTTGCTTGAAGTTTAAAAAATGTGTTTGTTTTTTTATGGAAATGAGGCAAACAAAAAAGCATCTCATCTGACGGTAAATGGTCAAACATGTACAAATCTAATATAAAAAATTATCGTGTCACGGTGTTCGTATTTGAACTCCTCCGAAACGCCTCGACCGATTTTCGTGAAATTTTGTGTGCATATCGGCCAGGATGGAGAATCGGACAACATCTATTTTTCATCCCTCTAAATGTCTACCCCAAATATTTTTTTCTACCCTACAAATTCCTTAGATATAATACGGCAAGACAATGTTTGCCGGGTCATCTAGTAATATTATAATAATTCATCTTTGAACACTCAAAAGTTTTGCTCAAGTGAAAAGTGCTGAATGTAAGCCCAGCGCCAAAGTGCGCCACCTATCCCGCGGTGTGTAAATTTTGCCATACTCCTAGTTGCAAGACCAGGAGAAATTAAAAGGTATTGTGTGTTTTTCTATAAATGTGTATATTTGTAGTGTATTCAGATGAGATCCATGGAAGATCCTATTTACCTTCATCCGTTTTCTCTTTAAGTCAATTTCGAATGTGTAATTGTCATAGTGATAAATGACGTACCTTAGGAACTATTGGAACTATTTCAGCCTCCTCCTTCTTAACTTTGTTTTGAGCAAACGTGTTTAATATATCCTTGGCATCACCTTCCGCAAACATTAACTCATCAATAAGCGCCTCCTTTTCCCTTATTTTCTGTTTCTTTGCTTCCTGTTCCATACGAGATATTTCAGCCCTACGGAGCTCCTCCATTTGTTTCTCAATTTCTAAGATCTCCTCCAACTCTAACTCTTCTCTACCTGTAATATTAAAGCAAGTTTTAGCTGTACTTTATTGAATCCCAAAGAGCTCATTAATAATACTGAATTTATTTCATATATAAACCTGAAATCCATTTTTTAAATCTACACACTAAAATATCTATTAAATGAAACTAGATTGTTAATAATTAAAAATCAAAATTAAAACATGATAAAATCCATAAACTAGTTTAATTTCATATACCTATATAATATTTGCAGTCAAGTCAAAATATCTACTTCTAGTTAAGGAATTTATTTATTTCATGATTTATGTCAAATTCCTCTTGCCTAACTTTCTGAAAAAGACCTCACCTATTTTTGCCTTATTTTTCAGAATTAACTCTTTGTTATCTTTTTTGTATTGCTCTATTCTTTTATTAGTGCCTACGACATCTATATTATTACATAAATTGTATACAATTGTTTCTATTTCTTCTAAGTAATCATTGTATTCTCTTAATGTGGCAAAATCTTCTTCTTTTTTATTGTAATCTTTGAGCACTCTTTTTCTTATATCTATTTCTTTTTCCACCATGGGATCTTCAAATAGCTGCACTCTGAAATTGCTCCGACGCAGAGGGACATTGCATTCAGGACATGAACCGGAACCTGAAAAATAGCGGTTTTGATGCGTCTGTAAATGCTATTATATTTAAAATAATTTTCTAATGTATAGTACATTGAAGACCTTGTTACCTTTTAAAAAAAGTAAATCTACACAATTCTCGCACAATGCGTGGCCGCAAACATTTACCATTAACTTCAGTGAAGGATTTCTATATTTTGTAGTTTTACAACGAGGACACGCTTGGTCATCCATTTCTTCAATACTCTTAAATTAATTTTAAACGATTACTTTTTACAACATACAACAACCAGAAGCCGTATTATTTTAAAATTTAACTCTTCTTTAAACTTTTCCTTTCGGCTAATCGGTCCTTGTCCTTGGAATTGACAGCGGTTTGACATGAATTGACATTTACCACAGTGTATAAAAAGGTCATCAAGACACTGACGTCCACTAATGAATAAATAAATACGTGCCATTTTTGTTTTGAAGGACTATGCTTTTAGCCTAGCGGTTTGATCGCTAGATGTCTACGTAGGAATGAGGCGTATTCATAGATAAGACATATATACTGAAAATAACTGTGCGTATTTATCATAACAGGTAAATGTAACAGGTATCTTGAGATAACAGACTATACTTGTTACGAACAAGCTTAAATAACAGTTCCTGTTCCACACAAATTGCTCCTTAACACGCTGTCACAAGCTTTTCTGTATTCAGGCTTACGATTGTTACCTTAGTTAGAAAGAGATAAAAACTGTTACAGTTTGTTACTGAATAACAACTGTGAACATTGTCACTGTTACAAGCTTTTTCTTTTTCTTGCATAGAAAGAGAAGTACGGATGTTACCATAGGGTAACAACTGTTACTATGGTACTTCTTACCTTAATAATAGAATTCAAAAAGTATCTATAAATGATGTAAATTCCGCAGGGTCCCCCATGAAAATGGGTGTCTCACAAGGATCGATCTTGGGCCCATTATTATTCTTAGTATATATAAATGATCTCCCATTTTATGCCAGTGAGTTATGTGATGTTGTACTGTTTGCTGACGACACATCGCTTATTTTTAAGGTTGACCGAAATGTATCGAATTATGACGACGTGAATAGTGCACTTTCGCGTATCCTCCACTGGTTTACCATTAATAATATGGTGTTAAATGCTAAAAAAAACTAAATGCCTTCTTTTTGCCCTTCCCAACGTAAGAAGGCAAAGTTTTAGCTTAAAATTGAATAGCGTAACCCTTAATCCTGTTGAGTCCGCTGTATTCTTGGGAATCACAGTAGATTCAAAGCTCCAATGGAGTCCCCATCTATCATCTCTTGCGAATAGGTTAAGCTCCGCTGTTTTTGCAATTAGGAAGGTTAGGCAGCTATCAGACATCGACACTGCCAGACACCGTTTACTACAGTTATTTTCACAGCATCTTGTCGTACGGCATTTTGTTGTGGGGTAGTGCATCTGATATAAATTCAATATTTATTATTCAAAAAAGAGCTGTCCGAGCAATTTATAAAATCGGAGCCCGGAATACACTCAGAGATCTTTTTAAAGAGATTAATATACTCACTGTTGCGTCTCAATATATTTATTGTAATATTTTGTATGTTAAACAGAATATTAATAATTATCAAAAGAATAGTGACAGACATAAACTAAATACTAGAAATAAGGACAAACTAACTACGCCATTATTTCGCCTACAAAAAGTAAACAGATCGTTCATGGGGCAAAGTGTGCGCATGTATAATAAAATCCCACAGTCGATGTTAAGTCTGCCACTTGATGAATTTAAACGAAAAATTAAAAGTACACTTATGGCTAAAGCCTATTATACTATTGCCGAATATCTTGACGACGCCAATGTGTGGGGTTAATACTGTTGATACTCACGTAGGCTAAAACAAGACTATTGTACCTGTACTATTATATTGTAAACTGATTTTTTAAAAAAGAGCAACTGTTGAGTTTCTTGCCGGCTTCTTCTCAACAGAAACTGCTTTCCGAACCGGTGGTAACTTACGAACGTGTTAATTTCTTGTAAAATTTTGACGTTTCATAAGAACGCGCAAGCGTCTATGTGAATAAAGATATTTTATTATTATTATTATTATTATTAAAAGTAACACAAATTGTCACAACATAGTATGAAATAACAAGCTATTATTTTGTAACAGATAGTATAGCTCACTCCTAGGCCACGGATACGACTTACAAACTCGGGAAAGAATAATGAAGGTTGTGCAGGACAAAATGACGAAAATATGACGCTCTCCGCTCAGCTTCTACTCCACAATCCCCGTAGACGAGAGACGGAACATCGCCTAACAAGCTGAAGCACGAAACGATCCACAGGCATGATCTGATGGAGGTTCTGGTCTCGGACCGCAATTGATAATGGAATTAATCCAAAACAGCAATAACGTTAAATTCCCGTGAATAATCACGAATATCCTACTAAATTATATTGGCAACGGTCGGTTTCATCAATTTCGAAGCAAGGTCACTATCCCGGCCCCACACCGTCCAAATGGGCACCACCCGAGTCGGTATCAACCCATCGATGTACTCCGTATAAACTAGCTATACCTAGGACCTCTCAGATCGAATGAGCACTATACGTCGACGATACAAGCCTATACGCGACCGATCGTAACCCAGATAATATATCTGACTACATAAAAGATTTAGTGTAGTAACCCAAATAATATATCTGGGTTACTACACTAAATCTTGTGAATGGTGTAGAAAAATCGAGGTCTATCCTTCTATATAAAAAATAAGATGATAATGTTCAATTGTCATTGGACTACTATTGAAAGAACACTAACTTTTCAAAATACTATAAGCGTTACGCTAGAAAAATAAAAGAGTACGTGTAACCTTTACTCGTGGTTTAAGTGAAAATAAAAAAGAAATCTTTAAAATAATTAATAATAATTTAATTTATTAATAATAAATTATGAATATTAGTTCAGATACATACATGCAGCATAAATATTTAAAAATCGGTATATAAACATGACATCGCCATAACATTTCGATGCGGAGCGATGAAATGGTATCATTTGAGATCCAATAAAATGTAGAAGTAAATATGTCCATAGTTAAATTCTTGGATTATTGCAAAATAACGTTGCCGCTGATATAACGACAGTTTTTATCGCGAAAACGTTTTAGTGTAAATATTCGTGCTTCGGCACGCATTACTTCTGGACGATACACGCAGGTGCGGTTGAACCATATCAAACACACTCATCGCCGTTGAGTGCGAGGTCCGTAAATAGCTTTTGAATCACTTTCATCATGTTTTTATTGTTATTTAATATTGAGTCTGAGTACGTTCATTTTATCATCACGTAATTACGAAACTTTTTATTTTCAATTAGTTGTTTCCGCAAATTGATAACTATCGTGAACTTTTCTGTTCGTAAATCAATGTCTTGTAAATAATTTATAAAAATATTTTTTTTAATTAATTGTTTATCATCAGATTTAATTGTTTCGACGCCGATCGTTCAACATTATTTATTATTTCTTGTGCTTAAATTTCGATTTCAATCTAATCATTTCCTTTGGATGGGTTCCACTATGACGGTGGTCCAAGCCCCAAGCCTATGTACGAATCTCCATCACAGGGCCTTTGGCTCGTGTCCTGGCCAGTTTTTATTGTTTGTTGAATTGTCCATATTACTGCAACAGGAGCCGCGGAGATGCATCGCAACGAACGGCGTCATCATACACAAGCTATGTTTTTTCTCCTGAGTCTGCGGGACGGATCTCTTCCGACGAATTTCTCAAGCAAACTACACACAAAAATCATGCTAATCATTATTTTAAATATTTTATGGCCACTTCTTTTACTAGCAAGCAACACTGTTACTGTCAACATAGTTGTTTTATTTGACAATATAACTTTTGATTTTGAGTATTAAGAAATAGCCTATCATGTAAGAGCATATTAGAGCGGTTATTTGTAATAAACCAATGGGAGTTAAGTATTCATTTATTTAGCAACCAAAATAAAAATTCATAAAGGCTTAGGAAACAAATGTTTATGTTTGTATTTTATTGGTGATAATTTGTTCTTTTTGTAGCTTCTACTTTTGCCTTTAAAATAAAGTTTTTTATTTTCAGATAGAATTAAGAAATATGAATTTAGCATTGAGACAAATCCTAAGTACACGGACTTTTAGGTTATGTGAAAGGCTTGCGCCTAAGAGTTATCAGATCCCAGTAGCCTCAACATGCTCCGTTATCCAACGAAGGTACTGCGAAGATCGCATGGAGTCACGCAAACTACCTCAGTTAATGGAATTCCCTCCAGTGATTTGGCCATCACTTATAAAGTACATTAAAAATTGGATGTTTGCTAACTTTATCATAAGGCCCTATTTTGATCAAGATTTTAGTCTTAGCGACTTTATTGAAGCATCCAAACATGCTGTTCAGGTTTGTACTTTTTTTTTAATCTTCATACCTGTGGAATTATTAAAAAATATAGTATTAACAGCATCAAGCAGTTGAGGAAGTAATTTTTGAAAGGAATAACATGTTATTAAACACGATTACTTATTAACAATTCTTTTGACTGACTATCTTTTCTTCTGGTTTAAATTAGCAATGAAGATTACAAAGTAAAACATTGCAGGAGTGAATATGATAATTGCAATATCAATCCGACATAATTATTATTGACAACACGTTTACTAACATCTCCAATTAGGTTGTTTCAGAATGTCTTCAAAAGAGTGATTTTAAGACACTACAAAATTATTATTGACAACAAGTTTACTAACATCTCCAATTAGGTTGTTTCAGAATGTCTTCAAAAGAGTGATTTTAAGACACTTGAGGGATTAGTAGAGAAGGAAGCAATAGCAGCTCTTAAAAACGCAATATCCAGCCTTTCAGTGTCACAAAGACAAATGTTAGCTATTGATAAAGAAGATATATTTTATGCTTTTCCTTATCAGGTGTGTAAAAAAAATTTTATGTACTGCCTTTTGGAAAACTATATGTGCTAGTTTACTTTAATAATAATACTATTAAATTCTCCACATTTATGGTTACCTTTTCTAATCAAGTTGGTTAATCAAGACAAAAGATTCTTTAATCTTTCTGTTTAAAGTTTGATAATAATTGTATAATTAGTAAATGTTAACCTAAAAACCCATTGTATGTTTGTCATAATAATTATATCAAACAGAGATTCAATGAATCTATTTCATTACAATTACAGGGAATCATATCTTTTTAAAATAAACTTTACTGAACTAAAATGATAGGATGAAAAGTAATTTAGACAGTGTTATGTAATCAGATACACTTGTGGAAGATACCATATTTATTTTTGGTTGCTAGATACTTAATTGTCTTCTCTTTCCTCAGGTAGGTGTTATGTTTGATGACTCAGATAAGCGCTGGGTAGAAATAACAATGTGTTATCATGTGCTGAAAGGAATGAAGCAAATGCAAGAGTCCGGTGAGGTACCACCAATCTCATTGGGGTAAGTTTGAAGGAATATTTTTTTATGGGAAGGATTAACTCCAATGGTTATTATTATGTAAACAAATTAATACTCATTTATAAAATAATTCTCAATTTAACCTATGAAGTATTAAAATCATTTTCAGGTGGCATAGCTAAATTAACTAAGTACTAATGAAAATAAGTACCCTCAATCAGACTTGTTCTTAGAAAATTAGTTTATTAAACACCAAAAGTAGATGCATTTTAACAATATATAAACTGTTTAATTTTTATTACAGCCATACCCTAATCTAATTATTTTACTGCTCATTGTTTTTATTACATGATTTTATACTTTTATTGTGACAATATCTACCATTTCTATGTGTTCTTTGATTTTAGAGTACAGCCTGAGTTTCAAGACAAAATATTCATACTTAACTACAGATTTATAAGGGAATTTACAAAGGGTGTTGAGGACAGTTGGTGGGTTAATATTGTAAACCATTTCCAACCACAGTCCATTGCAAAGAAGTCATTTTAGTATTGATAAGAAAATAACAGATTTTCAACTTTAGATTTGGAAAGAGTAAAGTGTTACAAGCAAAATAAAATACAATTTTATTGTTAGTGTTTTTTTTTAATCTTTAATAACAGTTGGGATCCATTTTTATGTGAAAGAACATAGAAATAGAATAATCAAGGGTTTCATGAAATTGAGCAGTATTGTATATTAACCCAGAAAAGCTTTATTTCAGAAACAAATATATTGTAAGACAGTATCAAGGTTTTGAGCAGGTAAATTTATAAGAAACAAATTTCGTTTTTAATTAATAATTGCGATGCAAACAGTCTCAATGCAGTTGTATTTTTTTTTTGTTTGTTATCACAGAACTGCATCATTTATAAACCTATTTTAAAATTTCTTTTGAATTGGATTCAATTATTTTGGATATATCTGGAAACTCCTCAAACCGAAAATGTGCAGTGTGTGAGATATTTGAAGTTGGTTTTGTTTTTTATTTGTAAACATGTAATAGTAAAGCATTAAAAAAAACCTAAGGTCTGTCTTGGACTGCCTTGCACTTCCAATATTTATTGAATGAAGCAAATATTTGTGTCAAAAATGTAAAAAATAAATATAATGTATAAAAACATATTTATAAATTGCAACATATGGCATGTATATATAAAATTTTCATTACATATATTATTTGCATCTTAATGAATAGCAAATAATGCTAATACAGTTTTTCCTTTTAAACCGAATATAGAACATGTGCCAACTCAACCATTTGAACAGAATAATTTTCACTTAAACCTAGAATACAGCACAATTGTCTTTGTGTTCTTCCAGTGCTACTTTAAGATTATTTAAAATAGCATCAACATCGCCTGTAAAGAAAAAATATTTATATTTTATAACACTTTTCATGTATTTTTAATTCAGTACAAGTCGGTAAAAGTGTGACCATCCCAATTGGTTAATTGAGTGTTTTTTTTTTTCGTATATTATTATTCATCTATGTTATCTTTCATTCACACATATTTACTCTGTTATTGATTATATTATAAATTTTATTTATGTAAATGCCATATTTGTTGCAGTACCTTTAACAGGATCATAGAGTGATCTCTTAGAAACCCCACATTGCATTTTTATTGGTCTTTGTCTCTTTATACAGCATTCTACATCTGAAATTAATGAAGTAAAGAAATAAAGACAAATTGAAATTTACTAATTTACAAACTGTTACATTGTATTATTTATAATTTGTATCAACAGGTACTATTGAAAATGGGTTAATACAATTTTGTTTGTGAATACAAATTTTATGAATACAAAATAAGGATGTACCAAGGTTATCTTTTTAAGTCAAAATATTTATTTCATTTGACATTTAATTAGACTTAATTATTAACCAACAAAAGAAACTGCCATCAAATATACCTCCCATTTGTAGTCTGATCTTTTGATACATAGACACAAATATTAGTAAAAAAAATAGCAAAAAGTTAATGGAATACAAAGGCAGTATTAATTGTTATGTGTATATGTTAGTATCTTTGTTATATATATTAGTTTTAAATGTATATGGTAAATTTAATTTGCAGTTGGGTAATGCTTAACATTTTGATTTGGTGGTAACTTAGATTTGGGGCATTCGCCTTATATTTTTCATTCATTCTTAGGTTCTTTAGACAGAATCTCATGGATGTTGTATTGTTGAATATAAACCCGAGCGTCACATGCATAAACATCAGTTAACACACCAACCTGCATGTACTTTATCCAACAGAGAGCTCACGTCCAGATTCTCCACTAATCTTGTGCACAGGGCGTTCACGTATAAACTAGAGCCGGGAACGATGCGCTCCGTGTCGCCGGTCCTAACTTCGTATGTGCCGTCGATGGTCGTGGAACATTCGATCTGCAGTAGCTCGTAAGCGGCCGCCGACGACTGCGTCGAATAGCTGACGAGCAGATTGCGATGGATATTGTACTCCTCTATTGTGGGGAGCGCTGCGTAGATCTGCGGGTTTATGTTTCTGTAACATAATTAATTTTTTTTTTCAAAGAGCTACTATATCTATAAAAAAACTACTAATTTCGAGACTTTGTAAATTAACTTAATATTTGGGGTTAGGTAACACAACTTGGGTAGTAAGTCCCAATGACCACTGCAACCTAGAAAGTATTAACTATTGTCTTTACTTTTTTCTATTATTAACTATTAGTCTTCCCTTCAAAAAAATTGCCGCCATACTGTAGGATAACATTGCATTGAGTCATTTAATAGTATACATCATAACCAAGATAAGTAGAATCTCAAGGAAATGTATATATTTTTAAGGAAATGTATATATTTTAAGGAAATATTTTTATAAGAACAATTGCCAAGCGAGCAGGTAGTTCACCTGATGCTAAATGATTTCCACCCATGTACATAACATGTGACATGCAGATGCATTGTCAACCTTTAAAAAACTGGAACCCTGGATACGTCACTCACCAACAAAACAATATTACTTCCACTACACGCCTAGAACAGATCAGAAAATGTTCCTTAAAAATGCATTTCATTTTTAGATTTATTAAAATTGATTTTGTAAATATGAAATTTACAGTTTAAAAATAATGTAGGCTACTGAAAAGTCCAGTTAAAAAGACAAATATGTTTATACAAACACTATATTACACTTGAGATATTTAAACTTATTATGCGGCGGGGAAATTTCATATTGGACCTGGTGATAAAGACAACTGTAAAAGTTGAAAGACCATATTGATAATCATCCTAGAAGAAACTGATCACCCTGTAAGACTGATTAGAATAAACCTTTGATTAGTGTTCCTTTACATGAATACATTGGAATGAAAAATCAACCAACCAACCAGGACCAACCAACATGTAGCTATTTACTTAAGCAGGATAATGTTATGTAAAGACATCCAAACAGTTGAAGGTTTGGTGAAGGAGCATAAATTTAAATTAACTATCAAGTAAACAGTGGAATGTACTCAACAGATTCACCTGTCCAAGTAATTTCCACACATGTCCAAAATCAAAATGCACAAGTCGGGCTTACATAATGCCACTTCTTTAAGTAACCAATTCTCTGTAATACAGTCATCAATGGTTATGTCCTCAACAGGGCAGTCTATGCTAAGTATACACCTTGTATTGCATAGTTCACAGCCATGTCCTGCATAAAAAATAAAACCTGAAATTTTTAATATATAGTGATCTAGCTTTTTGTTTTCTTTTTTTATTCATATGAAAAAAATACACAAAACAATAATGTTTTGATTTTTTTACATTAATTTTATTTTCAAAGAATGATGAATGCTGTGAAGTGTTGAAATAGAAATTAGGATAGAAAAAAAGAAAATTTTTCAAACAAATTAAACATGGCAAAATATATAAAATTATTTAATATACAACGATTGACTAATTTATTTGTAAAATATAAGAAGCAGATGGACTAGTAAAATAACTGCAATAACTAGAAATATAAATAAATAACTAAAAAAGGTATTTTGACAAAAAACCAATTGATGAAGTGATATCATTGCTAAAAAGAAAAATATTTATACATACAGTAGGAATCCTCTGGAATCAGGTCAAATATCCTTGACAAATTTCTTTTTAAATCTGTGATACACAAATTTTTTAAAGTAACTATGAGGAATCCTAAAACTTTCAAGTTTGACGCCAATGAATCACAGTCCATTGAAGGTGTTATTAGTTTCGACAAATGTTTATATTTATCATTTCCTATTAATATCGCCACTTTACTCTGTGGCTTGTAGTATGTTAAAATTGGCTTTGTATTCAGTGCTATTTTCAAAAATTGTCTGAATTGTTGTGCAGTGAATCCGCGACGATCTAAAGTTTTCATTAGAATTTCTCCCGGTTTTTCGTTATCATTTAACTTAAGCCTGGAAATAATAAAAATTAAAAAAAAATCATATTGTTTTTTGTTGTAAATATAAATTGATGATGTTTAAAAGTAATTCTAAGTACTTAAAATCGGCTAATGTAGAAATCACTTCACACATTTGAACATTTAAATCTAATGCCTTTTGATATTCAGGATAGGATATTTTTTGCAACAGCGACATTTTACAATAGATACAATACTACAATCATGAAACAAAAACATAACAATAGAAATGCCCGGTTTCTGCAAAGAGAATGTAATTAATAAGTACGTTTAAGAGACGGGACCTCCATACTAGCCAAAAATATCAGTTTACGTTTACGCGGAACTCCAATACCAACCATACCACAAATGAGTACCACATAACGAGCCAAATAAAGCACTTTTTGTTTTTCCAAGCTAGCTTAGCTTCTTATCGATATAGATAAAAGATACTAGGTAGAAACCGAGGTTTCCACTTAATATTTTTTTATTAATTTTAGTAGGTAAGTATCGACTCCGTATTTATGTCCAATGTTGATGATATTTGGTAGAAGATTGGACTTGAATACGGACCCGAAACAAGATAAAAAACGGTTAATTAAAATAAAATTTTATTATTTAAATGAAATTTGTTTCTTGATTCTTCAGCCAACAGCTGTTGTCCTGCTGTACACGAGTTTGGAAATAATTTAAACATAAAAATAGAATCAAAATCCAAAAATTATTTTAGTTTTCTTGCATACTCAGCGCACGAAATTAATTATATGACGTATCAATATTACAGAGATTATGTTTAAAAATCTTGCAAAATTCACCTATTCCGATCCTTGTAAGCACACCATTTATGTAAGCACATCATTCAAATATCTAAAACTTTGTGCCCCTACTCTTTCACGCAACATTTTATTTCTTATTTTTTTTTTTTCAATGATAAACATTAACGTAGTTATCGATATGTGGATATTACAGTTGCAGTACATCACTAGCACACAATTTAAATGAGATAAATTTGTTAATTTTATTTGTTCTTAGCCTGCTCTACTTACATATGGCTGCAAAGTATCATATTTATGTGCTTACATGGGCTTCATCTAAGGGAAATCTCGCCATAAACAATCTTTTTTCAAGATTCGAATGAATTGCTCGATTTTCACCAATTTCACAGGTAATAAACCGTCTTTTAGGCATTTTGAATTAAAAGTGCAACTCTAATCACTTGTCACTAGTTTTCGTGAGAAAGTTTACTCTAAACAATTTAAATTTACAATGAAATAAGCATTTACATTCAAAATACGCGGTGCGAAATTAAGTTTTGACAGACAACATGGCATTTCTTGTATTGCAAGAAAGAGAAACCGCATTGAAGGAGAGTGATAGTAATGTCCGCCATTATTTGCCGCGTAAAGTCCTTAGAAAAATTTTTTCGTTTAAAATAGTTTCGCCAGACTGGGTTTCTGACTGAAACACTGAACTAGTGTTGTATATCGATAGTCTGCTATCGATAGACAATCGATTATGTATCGATAGTTAAGGTAAAAGCAATAGTATCGGTAGTCTATCGATAGTATTGTCACGTGTCAATACTGTCGACATTACCGATAGTATCGATGGCTCCAAGTGCCAAAACTATTCATGGCAGCAATACTATCGATAATATCGATAGTATTGCAATTTCCATAAGTTTTATTATATAAGAAAAAAAGAATCAAGATTGTAATTTAGTATTTTTAAAATTTACTGATCTAATATTTATAAGATTAAACCTATCTAAAATTACATATTATCTAATAAACCTAATCCACGCGACATGGTGCCAAGAACGCTAGCTGCATTTCCTCGCTGAATAGTTATGCTCGTAAATATTAGATCAGTTTCAATTAAGTTGAAAATATTAAATTTACTTATAATCTGTATTAAAAACAAAGTTTTTGCTTCACGTATAAATACACATTACTGAAGGTCGTGTCCGTCTTGAAAATTTTTAAGTGCATCGGCGACGAGCTGCTTCCACACCACTCTATCTTCGGCTTTCTTCAAGGCAGTGGAAACAGGAAGCCCGGTTATAAGCTTCACTAGATCAGACCACCGGGTAGGTGATCGCCCAGTAATGAAGGCGACGAAGAAGAAGAAGAAGAATAAATACACAATTCCAAAATCGAAATATCGATATATCGCCTAAAAAAAGATTAGTAATAAATAACGATATTTCTAAATAATAGTATCGATATTTCGATATATCGATATTTCGATATATCGATATTTTTTTCAACAGTCCTACTGTGATGATAGGTGTAGATGACAGATGTAAATAATATAAAAAATGGCAATCGGTGTTGATTCTTCGAAATGGAAACCTCGAAAATTAAGAGGAACTCCAGCTGGAAAAGTCAGTAACATCATCGGAGCCTCTGTATTAGCATTTGGTTTTATATGCGGTGCTTTTTACCAGTAGGTAAACCTTAGAACAATGTTTTATTCTTGTATTTCTAAATTGTTTAGAGGTTATAATTGTTTGTCTATTCCAGGTTTTCTAGCGTAACAGAAAAATACCGAAAAAAATTTGAAATTCTTTATGAGGATCCTGAAACAGAAATAGAAAGGAAACAAATGATAGCAGGTGGTTTTGCAAATAGAACTGGAGATAAAATCAGAAAACTAATGGCAGAAGAAGAGAGACCAGATTTACCTTCTAAGTAGCCCAAGTCTATATGAATAATGTAAATATTAGTTTTTGGCAATTAAATAATTTAGAGTTTTACCTTTGTTTCAATATACCAATAAGTTATTGATGCCAAAACAAATATTAACCAGTAAGTATTTTTGTAAGCAGGTTATGGATGAGAGTCTTAATGATTTCCAAGAGATAAAGACAAAGTGCGTGGGGCCTAAACTAGATACAAAACAAAAACAACGTGCTAAGCCTAAAAGGAGAATTAAAGGGCAAAAAGATATAAGAACTTTAATTAAATCAAAGAGAAATGAACTTCTAACTTTTACTGAAGACTTTAATAATGTTTGCACAAAAAGTGGTATAGATATTGACTCACAAGAACTACAGTTGGCAATAGCTTTATCAAAGTCTTTGCAAGAGCAAAGTCAAGCTGAACCTGGAACTTCACAGATTACTAAACCTTTGTCTTCTCAAGAAAGGACAAATCAAATTCGTAGAACATTGCAAGAATATGGATTTAGAGTCCCCGAAGCAAAAATTAAATCAGATACCAACAGGAGATTGAAAAAGTTCAAAAAACCATACAAATTGCTCTTGATATCGGAAGAGGAGCGGCGGCAAAGGATTTTTGATAAATATACACAGGTACTCTTTCAGAACCCTGACAAATGTTATAAAAGCGAAAATGATAATATTGTTATAAATAAAGGTCTCTACTATCTATGCACTAACATTACATATGATTTATTGAAAAGTAACAATCTATATTTTATCCCTGACATTTTACAAGAAATTACTGTTAATAAAGGGGGCTTGTTGAGAGACTGGTCTGATATACCAGGAAGGCCATGTAGCCCTACTCTTGTAAAAGACCATCCTATAACTTTCTCAGATATAGAGTGCACACAAGGAGAGCTGGATACAATATTAAGTGGAACTCTCATAGCCACAAGAGACATTTTGAACATAAAAAAATCTTCAGAATTTAAAACAACTGAAATTCAAACAGCAAAGCAACAATCAGATAATCATAGTCAAGTAAAAAATAACTCTTTGCCTAATACAGATGCTGAAAAATTGGAAATATTGAAGGAAACTAAAGACAAGTGTGTATATAAAAATATTAAAACTAGAGAAGAGATAGAGGCAACCATGCTTTCTTTACCACAACAAAACAGAAGTATGTCACCAGACATTTTTGGTGATGACACATTGTCTCTAATAGACAATTCAATTGTAGATAATTACCTCAATACTGGAAAGCAAAATGCACCAAAGATGATATCAGATAATACACTGATATTAGATTTGAACAAATCCACAATATTAACTAATGATAAAAATTTTATTAAACCAGTTCACTTGTTTTCTGAATCCAGTAACAGGACAAAGAGAAGAACAAATGATTTTATGGATTTAACTGAATGCGTTCCTGTATCTTCACAGAAATATAAAACCAATCCATTATCACAATCTACCAAGGCATATGAAAGTGAAGTAATACATAATGATTGTATGGAAATTACTGACTGTATTAATCCACCTTCTCAGGAATGTAACATTCTTGATAGTGATGACCCTATTCCCACATCAATTGTTAAAAGTCATAAAGAATTACAAATTATAAATGATTGCAATCATTTAACATCATTTGATTTAACACAATCGTCAAACTCTGATGAAGATTTACCGATAGTAGAAATCTGTCGTACACAACAATCTTCTTCATGCGAAACCATTATTGTGGATTTCGATGACTATGTTAATGATTTAAATAATGACAGAACAATAGAACTAGATAAAAAACCTAATACAAATAAGGAAGATACTATTATTCTTATTAAAGAAAATTATGCCAAATCATCAATGCCAGGCTTTTCAAAACATATAACAGCTAGTAACGAGGAATACATAATAAATCTAGATGAAATAGTGGATAATAAAAGTTCAAAACATCAGTTAGAAACTAGTGATATTGATCTCACTCAATCATCTGGTTCTTCTGTGGATACAAGTGCAACTGGCACTTTGAACCAATCGCAAAATTCACCATGTCCCGATTATTGCAACCTTGGAAAAAAAGGCGATGTTTCCATCGATTATGATGAGATTTACCCAGATATGGCAGCAAATGAATATTACCCAGATGAGCAGTTTGACAATATTCATTGGAAAGACATAAAAGATCCTAGCAATGGGACGGTGTTCTCAAATCCAATAGAAAGTTCCAAGACTGATCTTATCTCAAATGGCAGCAATACATCGGAAGTATTTGTGCTGTCTGATAAAGAATTGAATTATTCATTGTGTAAATCTAACATAGAAAATTTTCAATTAGGTGGCATTTCTATTATGGATAACATTTCAAATTTATCTGAAAATAGGCATGACTCCATTAGGAAGACAAAGCGTAGTTTAAATAGATCATTAAGTGATAGTTGTCTTCCATCAGTGAGCATTATAGACAAGGGAAGAACACTAATTACTGATAGACCAGTTGAAAAGTATATCAAGGTAAACAAATCTGTTTACGCAAGTCCAATAAAAGCGATAATCAGTGATGACAAGGTTTCGGTACAAACGCCAACAAACAGTGACTATTTCATAAAAGTTGGGGAAGTTACACCTATGTTGGATTATGCATCAATGTCTAGCCCTGAAATTAATAAAGAATTGGAAAAGTACGGCTTGAAACCGTTTAAAAGGAAAAGAGGTGAGCGTTTAAACTCTTTTTCAAATATCTAATTGATATTGTTGACAAAGGCGCTTTTTCATGCTTTTTAAGGATAGCCTGAAATTGGAATTCCGAATCCCATTTTACTTTCATTCATTTAATTTACTTACATATTTATTCATAGTACTCACATACTTACATTAGTGTGCAAGTCCAAAATTGCTTAATATTAAAACTTTTATTTAGTTTAGACAAGAGATTGTACTAATTTTGCATTATCTCTTCTCCTAATTGCCTGAAAAAAAAAAAATTAAAATGTCCCAATTTTCTTTTTGCAGAAATGATAATAATTTTATATCTGTTATCATTTTCAGCGATACAACTATTAACTCACCTGTATAACCAAACACACCCAATAATAGAGCATTGTTCCGAGGAGCTTATTCCAGCAAAGAAATTAAAAATCAGCTCTCCAAAGAAGAGAATAAAATCGCCAACAAAAAGCAGTAGTCCAAGAAAAAGTAAAAGACTTTTAAATATTGGATTGAGTAAAGAAAATGAAATATGTTATGAAGAAACGAAAGATGTGCCCGACATAAAAGAAATTGAATGTAGTTCAGACGATTGGGTGTTTCAGAAAAGAGAGAAAGCAAAGGTAATATTTATTTTATATTGTATTGTAAATTAATTTTTATTTAATTTATTTTGTGTTGTGTATTTATTTTAGTTGTCTGTCAAGTGTTCCAAGTATAAGAGATATAGATATACAATAAAAAAAAATTTATATATTTGGTTAGTAAAAATCAGACATAAGAATAGAAATATGGACAAGAAATTTTCGGTTCTGCTTTTAATTTTCAAATGTTTGATTATTTTTTATAAATTATATTTTGTAAATTTAATTCAAAAATTAAAAATATTATACATTGTTAGCCGATTGGCCTAATGGCTAGGGGCCTCTTGCACCAGAGAGTATGGGTTCGATCCCCGCTGCTGGAAAAATTTTGTTGATGAACATATTTTTTTCATGTGTCTTCATGTCTATACATTTATAACACGTATTTATTTACAAAAGAAAAGTATTCAAAGTATGAAAAGTATATTTCAAGTATGTTTATCTGTTATCAAGTACCCATAGTACAAACTTTGTTTAGTTTGGCCTTAGAAATAGTAATGTAAAAATGTGTCGTGAAAATATATACGAAGTTGCGCGGGCCAACTAGTGGTATATATATATATATATATAAATATATACTGCTATATACTAGCTGGCTAAGTTGCGCGAACTTAGTCTGAACGCCATCTATGGGATACTTACACCGCCATCGGTAAAAATCTTATAGATCCCATAGATCCCATAAATTAATCTATTGCTATATCCATTTCATTCCAGGTACACTCATGCCGGGTCCCTCTACATATTGCTTTCCACAACTACGTCTCATGCCGACGTGGTTTGCGGGAAGCGATTCTCCGGTACGAGCCGGTCAATATAGACGTCATTCACAAGGATCTCGTCTCCTACGGCTACCGGTACAACCCAAAGGTATTATTGCATAATAATAATAATATGTTTTATTTGCCTAATAGAGCTAGGTAAGGATAAAGAGGATAAGATGCAGTGCAGTAATTTATATCGCTATATACCCATTTTGCAAGGTCTGCAAATATAATATGTTTGCTATATACTTTGACTGTAGTACTTTACAGTTACAGTAAGTTATGCCAGGGTTGTGAAAAGTAGCATTCTGTATAATCTTTATTTTACCTACGCCATAAGGCACAATAAATCCTTCGTTATGCGTTTGTATGTATTATTTGAGAATCTCGAAATATAAAGTATGAATGCACTTTTAAAATAAAAAAAAAATGTTTTTTTTTTCAGGATCTATTGAGGTTTTTGGATAAGAAGTGTATTACTGTTAAAACTGCGGACAACAACGCAAGGAACTGTAGAAAATAGTTTTATTTTTTTGTAACATCATGCCTAATTTTCATTAATAGAATGTAAACTTCATGAAATCCCTATTTTATATTAGAAAATTTCTATTATTTCACGATTAAAAGTTGAAACGTACCAGAAATTTTGTTGTGAAGTGATATTAAAAAACTGACTGTTTTAAATGACCATGTAATATAGCGGCTGTAAAACCTGATAACATTATAACTTATAAATATATTGTACCCATATATGATATTATTTAACTAATTTAGAGCTAAGGCCGAGACTGTGCCTTCCTAAAACACACTCTTAGGAAGGCACAGTCTCGGCCTGTGCGATTGGAGGTATTCAACACTCATTGGTTGAAGTCCATTGTGTTGCCAATGATGACGTACGGTAACCGATGGGAAAGAAATTGGTGGCAGCCTCGTATAGGCTATCGTAGTGTAGACGACCCCCCACTAGATGGAGTGACGATCTGTGCAAGTGTGCGGGAAGTCGATGGATGCAGGTGGCACAGGATCGTGCTTCGTGGAAGTCGATTTTCCCTTTACTTGTGTTGTAAAACCTTGCTTTTAACGAAAATTGCCAATTCCAGGACTACCGGAACTACCCAAAGGGTCGAAAACCTATATGTTAGTTCTCGTTGACCTAGAATCACGAAACTTGGCTTGGCAAGAAGCAAGGTCTTCCAGCACAAATACAGTGAAAATTTCGAAAAATAAAAAAAGGTTGAAAATAAAGGTAAATTTTAGTACTTACACGTTTTCGCGGAAATCTGAATTTGCCCATATCTTTTTATCATGTTGACTCAGGAGCTTCGATTTTTATACAGCTTATAGGGACGACAATATCTGTTATAAATTTCAACTACCCGTTTCTGAGAAAATCGGTTGTGGTTATTTAGCAATTTTATTATTGCAGTATAATGGGTAGGTACGGAACCCTCGTTGTAAGAGTTCGACTTGCACTTTTCAGGTTTTTATTTGATAGTAAAACTATGTAATAATTTAGCTAATACTGGTACCTGATTAGACCCTATTTTTCGTCATTTTGAGAAATTATTGCAATGGTAAAATCGTATTTATGGGAAAATTTTATATGGCACTGTTCAATTTTTATGCTAAATGATTATATGTCTATATATGATTCACTAAATGGTACCCGGTATAGTTTGGTTTTCTGGTATGATGGAAGAATGGGAAAACATTGAAATTTGTGGAAAAAATGTAACAGCATTCTTAATGTTAAAGAATTGAAAGCATCATGTATAATATGAAATATTTTAATCATTACACTTCAAATTATTGAGCTCTGAACACATTATGTTACAATCACAATGTTTTTTACTACAAAGTAACATATAATTTTTTCATAATTATTCCTAATAAGATCTCAAGAATAGAAACATACTTCTGTACATTTTTACAAATATTCACAACATATGTATATTTATGTATTTATATAAAATACAGATCTGAGTCTTCAAGATAAGAATAAATATCATTTCTTTAAAAGGCCAGCCTGTTGTATTACTTGTCTGGTAGCATTGTTTATATGTCGAAATCGGTCTGGGCCTAGCTGGATACCTCCATACCTGTAAATGGCAATCAACTGTTTTGAAGGTTCTAATATACACAAACTAGACTACAGTTATGATAAAATATATGATATTATCAATAAATAGAATCAAAATTTCATTTAAACTTGAATAACAAGTTAATGTATAAAATGAACTAAACAATATCTAGATAGTGTTTGTTTAAATTTTTTTACAATGTCTGGTCATGTTCATTTAATTCAAGACCAATCTAATTATTGTTTGCTTGTCCTATACCTTTATGTTAATACCTCAGATCAATAAAAGAGTATATACAGAACATTGCCCTCATATAAGGCACGTAATATGAAGACGATTCGGTCAAATGAAGACTTCCGCTCGGTAGTCTGCCGCCAGTGACAGAGTGCATGACGTAGGTAGTATTAATAAAATAAAAAAATGTGCGAAATTATGTCATCCTATGTCATTAATGGCTGCAAAAATAATTTATGTTTTAAAAAAACTATTGTTGGATTACTTTTCGCAAGTAACGAACGTTTCGATTTTGTTTAAAATATGTATAATTTAAATAAAATCGAAAAAATGATAAATTATAATTTATATAACTTTTGGTTTTAAGTCCCGACATTTCGAAACCTTTACAGTGTTCATGGTCAGACACACAGAATATTTCATCAGTCTAGACATATTACCAAATTCAATAAATCAAATTATATTTAAATCCAAATTTAATTATTTTAATAGTGAATAACAATAATTGTCCTCTTTCCAAAAATAATCTAAGATACTATAACATGCTGTTTTGTTCTATTAAGATTTTAAGTAGACTATTAAGATGTTTTACCACAATTTGGGCAATTAAAAATTTTGTATATAGCTTGAATTGTTGGCTAATAAAAACACAATATTACCTAAAAATAAAACTTCACTCAAGTACATCTCCCGCACTTGGTAGTCGCAACAAACCGCTTTTTGCTACCACACATATACAATCTGATATCTTACGAATACAACAATTTATCTGTACACAATATATGTATACACAAAGCCAAAACTAGTCCTCACATGATTCGTCGCGATTGGTTACGACTGGTCCATCCATACATTTTTATTGGTCCGAGGTTAACACTTTAATTATCATAAATATATTACCATCTTGAAACCACAACTAGGGTGTTCTTTTGGTCTAATATCTGTAATAAATGAAGCATTCTGCTACCAGCATGCGTTTCTCCATCATCGTCGCAATCTTGGATCATTGTAGTGCCTTTATCAGTCTTCCTTTCAATTCTATATGCATACATATTGTGTGTGGCGTTTAAGATCTTCTTGTTCTGTCTTAACTTTGTCAAGACTGCACTGTAAAATAAATTTGTAGATCAAATAAATGCAGGAATTTTTTAATGATAATTTCACAAAGTGCTGCATGGCAGAAAAGACTATCAGTCATAAAGGTGATATTGATGGGAGTTTGACAGCATGTTGCATTGGTGGTGATACTCAGCAAGTTTCTGAAGAAATCTTAAGAGACTATCACGAAATACACATGATGGAAATTGCAATGAGACACAATGTCTCATTGGAATGTGACATTAATAATATAATAAATATAAATAGATCATTACAATGTCCAAGCGATCAGAGAGTGCCCAGTTGTCGCAATTTTAGCCCCGCTATGGAAATGGAAGGAGTATAAAGAAGTATTAGGTTACTAGAAATGAGAACAGACTGATGGCTAAAAATATATCTTTATAATTCTTTATATTGTTTTATCGCAGTGTAGGACGACCCCCCACTAGATGGAGTGACGACCTGTGCAAATGTGCGGGAAGTCGATGGATGCAGGTGGCTCAGGATCGTACTTCATGGCAGTCTATGGGGGAGGCCTATGTTCAGCAGTGGACTCAAACAGGCTGAAAACATGATGATGATGATGATATTGTTTTATATAAAATGAATCCAAAATTAATTAATTAAATCTAAGAATGTTTAAGAACTATTTTCTCAGTTGGCCACTGAACATTTTATTTTAAAACATTTATATTTGTTACTCCGTATCATTCCCAGAGTAACATATTTAATAAGTGAAGGTTTATTTATGACTGCTTTGTATAGGAGTTACACCTCATTTAAACTCTGATTCCAACCCTTGGAATAACTGAAACAGTCCTGTTATTCTTACCTTACGTCATCTACACTATGTACCTCAGCTGCATGTCCTTGGAATGAACTTTTTCTATCAATTATCACTTCACCATGAGTTATTTCGGGACAGTTGATTGCCAACTGCAATCAATGAAGAAAAATAATGATAGACCAGCAAAAGCTTTAATAAAAGCTAGATAATCCAAAAAATATTATATAGGTATATATTAAAATAAATATTATATATTGAAAATACTGTCATTTTCTTATAAGTGTACAATATATTTTTATGATATACATTACTATATCTAAACAACATTGTATCATGGGTTTAAAACTTATCAAGCTTAAAAGCTTTGAATACCAAAGGTTATACACCCATTGCAACAAGTATCTGACAAGCGTTATATTATTTGAATTGTAAAATAAAGCCAATACTTTTTGAGATTTAAGTTTGCAAATTAATGATATACAGAATAGTTACCTAAACGATCACATCATATCATAATCTAAGTAGATCCAAAGAATATAAGAAATTATTTTTCTTAAGCTTTTAAACAATTATTTCACTTGTAAATATTATCAATAGCAGATAAAGAGGTACATACAATACCTGTGTCAGATCTAAAATTTCATCAACTAACACATTATTGTTTACATGTTTAACTTCTTTAGCTTTCATTGACAGTAATGTTTCTCTTATTTTCTCCACCCATTGATATATTACATTTTCACCAATATTCTCACTAAAAAATAATGAACATCAGCAGTATTTTTATGTTATTTCAAATAATTTTTATATATTTTAATAGACATATTGTAATAATAAAAAAAGTATTACATATAAACTTCATTTAAGCTGGTATAAAGCTTTTCTTTCTTTTTTCTATCCATCCATGGAGCTGATAATTCAAATTTAGGCGGTGCTTCCCTTGGGTAGTCTAAAGGCATAGTCACATACAGTATAACTTCGTAGTCATTTTCTTTCACTTTTATATTGTAAGATCTGTTTGCCTCACTTTCTGTAGTCCAATCATCTCCATATATAGAACTCAATGCTTCTACTTCTTCTATCTGAAATAAGAGCAGTGAAGCTAGAGACGAGAGTTAATAATTCAAGTTATTATTACAACGATATCATTAGAAGGTACAAACTTGTCTAGTTAAGTTTTCCGAGTCCATGACTGATTCCTAAGCCTATCGTAATTCCGAATTACTTCGTTTGAAAAAACTGAATCGGTTTTACTATTCTCAGAACTCACTGAATCTAAATACAATTCTAAACTCTCACTGTCAGTGTCTGCATGACATTCAGAATTCAGATATACAAACGTACTCTTTGATGACATTCATCGGTTGTGAATTGTGAATGTTATCAATGTCATTTGTATTGTCTTTTTTTTTCTATGATTCTGGATTCGGGCATTTTGTTGTATTTCTTGAACGGTGGATGTGGCTGATGGGATCATTTTCAAACCGAAAAGACACTTAAGGAGTGATAAGAAAACTATTTATTTCAACTTAAACATTTTGAACTTATTTTAGACCAAACGTAATGATTATGAAATTTATATAAAATACACGAGTTATATCAGATAGCTATACATGTTACATCTTCAAACGATTTTTACGGAATCAATTTCGATTGATTCCGTAAAAATATGACACAATTCAGTCTGAACAAATAAAACTAACATTCTAAATTTAATTTAAAGTAATTCAAACATAATACATAAACCGAGAAGATCAGAGTTGATATCAAAAGAGTATGTATAATCTGAGATTACCAATCAACACACCCCCTTAATCTCAGATATACATCATAACACCAGACAAGTACAAAATACTCAAAAAAAAATTAGCAATTATCAACAAACAATCCACGATCATAAAACAACAATAACACAACAAAAACAAAACCAAAACTCTTAATTATAACTAAAACCACAGAAATACAAGAAAAACATACACTATAAAGAAAGAGGAGATATCAAAAATTCTGTAAAAAGTTTCTCTGAAAAATTCCGTTTTTCAATCTATATTTGACTTTGTACTAACAGTCAGATGACAAGTCTAAAACTGAGCAAGAGAAAACTGCAGAATAATAAAAATCTCCTTCCCTAACAAAATTAATTGATTAACACAAAACATTAAATCCTTTCCCCCTTACAACACACACGCTTCCACTGCGCGAATCTCTATTATTAACACCCCCTTACACTAATACTACTTAACTAAAAAAAAAAAAAAGGTTTAGAATTAAAATACCTAAAAGTCTTTATAACGTCTATCACAAGACAAAACCACCAATCACTTTAAAAAGAAAAATCTAGTCACTTAAGTCATTCCTACCTACACCATCACATCACTAAAACTTGATTACGAAGCTGCAAATATTTAACGTTGGTTAGATTCTTCGTTAGTATATCAGCTAACTGTTTTTCTGTTGGACAATATTCAACTTTAAATAACCGTTCATCAAGCTTTTCTTTCAGAAAGTGGTGACGAACATCAATATGTTTACTTCTCCTATTTAAAACTCCGTTCTTCATTAAAGCAATAGCAGATTGACTATCGACCATCAAAGTTGTTTGAGGTACAACGTGTAACAATTCCTTAAAGAGATTTTGTATATATAATAATTGTTTACAGCAATCAGCAGCAGCAATATAGTCGGCCTCAGTACTAGAGAGCGCAACGATAGGTTGTTTTCTAGATGCCCATGCAATCGGACCTCCTCCAAAACAAATCAAGTACCCAGTGGTACTTCTCGGAGTATCTAAGTCTCCTGCAAAGTCTGCATCACAGAAGGCCACAAGATTACTATCTCCCCTAACATACTCAATACCCAAACCAGATGTACCTTTTACGTATTTTAGAATAGATTTAATATTAGACTTATCATTTTCATTTGGATTATTTTGGTGTCTACTACAATAGCCCACATGAAAAGCGATGTCAGGACGAGATTTATTAGCTACATACAGTAAAGAACCCACTGCCTCCCTATACTCCTCAATTAGAGAGTCATCATTTATAACAGGATGTTCACCAGTAAATATAGAGGGCGTAATAGTTGTCTTTACATCTTGCAAATTTAATTTATTAATTAATTTGTTAATGTAGCTAGCCTGAGCTATTTTAATCCCATTATCTGTAATAATTTATTTTAACATGCGATGTGGTGATGTATTTAAAGATGTTTTCAAGGATCTTAGGTAGATCACGTTTCTTACCCATACAAGAGTAACTACTTCTTACCTTGGTCTTAAATAAAGTCTATAAGTTCACAATGGACTTTAAAAATTAAATAATAAAAAATATTTAAAATGTACACGGAAAAAACTGTTAATATCATTGCTTCGAATTCTTCTTAATTCATTAGCTGCTCAAAGGCCAAAAGGTGTGATTAACCACAAACATCATAAAAATTGTCGCCTCAAATAATGATAGCCATACGAATGCATTAGCTCCGATTAAGCGCTACGTAATTGCTAGAACGGTATGCAAATACAAAACGTAATAGACATATTATGGAAATATGCTACGGACCGGAAACTTTGTAATATCATGCAAAGCTTAGTTCGGGCTGCGTCACACGTCGTAAAAAAGTTCTGAGAAAACAATAACCTAATAACACGTGAACAATGGAAATGGTCTGGAATCAAATTGTACACCCAGCACATAGATAAGATTTTTTTTTGTAAAAGTTGCCAAACGTTAAGTAAATATCGCCGCCCATGGACATCTGCTACACTCGAGGGTTCCAGAAGGTTGTCAACCTTTTGTAAATTGGGCTCCGGCCACCTCACTCACCAGACGAACCGCGAAAGTATTATACTTCTACTTTACGCCGGTCTTCTGTGAGGTCTGGTACTTACCCGGACGAGCCTGCCCATTTGTGCAACAGCCGAGGTTACTGCGTGCCCCTACCACCGTGAACGACGAATGTATTGATGTTATATTTTCCCTTAATTAAGTTTTTAATGAGTTATGGTAAAAGTATAATTATATATAGTACTGGTGTCTGTAGAATGTGTTCATCGTTGTTAAATAAAGCCATTTTACGGATTTTATCGCGTTTTATTTAGTTTTTTAACTCCCCACATTCTAAACATGAACGATGTGGTTTTGCGAATAATAAGAAATTAATATTTTTATTTAACCATTTGTAGTATTCACTGAAATATAAGAAATTATTGATATATTGTGCTTATGAAGGTACAACAACAAATAAAGTATTCTAAAGGGTAAGCAGATATCATGCTGTTAAAATTGTAACAATTATAAATGCCTCATCAATAGGTCGGCGAGTTCGGAAGGATTCGGACATTGACACGTGCTTTAGTGATATTTTTCTTGGAAGTTTGTTTTAGTTATTTCAGTTGTGTATCCATATTGTTGTTGGTTGTTGTGGTTGTGGGTTTATTTAATTTGGTAAGTGTCTTATATGTAATCGCTTAACAAGAAGGATGTGTGATGCAGGAGATGATGACCCTCCCCCAGGTGCAGGAGGAAACACATCCTCTGATATAGACATGGCGCCTATAACTGAGTTTATCACCCCTAGTCATCCTCATAAAAGACCAGCGGACTTAGAAATCGCTAGCTATACTGCTACATCCAAAAAAAATGTTACTCCCGCTGCTTTAATTCAGGATACTTACACTAGACCTGGTTTTGAGCCTGACAAAAAAATTAGGTATACAGAATTTAATCAAGGTCCCTTCACTGTCCACGTGTCTCGTATGGAAGCTCATCCTTCTGAAGGGCTCTCTATTAAACTACTTAATTTTGCACAGCTACTACATAAAAACAAGATTTCTGGTATTGTGTGTGATGGCATCAAAGTATTAGGCCGAAATAAAATTTCTGTTCAATTTGAAAATTACGTAGAAGCCAATTCCTTTATTGAGAATTCTCTATTACAAAAAATAATTTCAATGCAGAGGTCCCAAAGTTCCTGGTTTCTCGAATGGGTGTTGTCCGCCAAATACCCTTGGAGTGGTCCCTTGAAGAACTGGTTTCTGGGATACAATGCCCTCCAAATTGTGGTCCTGTCATAAGAGCTAGAAGGTTAAATGTGAAAAATCGGCAAAACAATAATGTTAGACCAACTTGGGAACCATCCATCATGTGTTGACCTTCCTAGGTCAAACTCTCCCACATAAAGTTTATTGTTTCCATGCTTCTCTCCCAGGCTCCATATACCAACTCCCTACCATACAATGCCATAACTGCTGCAGATTTGGCCATGTCCGTGCTCAATGTCGATCTAAGCCTAGATGTTTTAAGTGTGCTCAACAACACCCTGGGGACTCCTGTACAGTACCTGAACCTGTTTGTCTCTTGTGCAGAGGTCATCATAAAGCCATAGAGCCTATCTGTCCAGAACATTTGCGCCAGAAAGATATCAAACATGTAATGTCCCAAAAGAATGTTAATTATACTGAAGCATCACGCCGCTTTCCCATTTCCAAATTATCTTTTGCTGATGTAATCCGCTCCTCTCCCAAAAATTCACCCATCCCTTCTTGGGTCCCATGTAATGTCCCTTCTTCTTCTAATGCCTACTGCCCTCTCCCTTCACAACAATCCCTGGTTTATGAACAGGTATTAGAACATTCTTCATCCTCTCATAGGTCGCCATCTGTTGTCTACAATAAATCTCTTCCTCACCAACCCCGTCCTAGATCCCCCCAGAGTCAATCTTATGATAAACATGCTCATCAAGAAATTGTTAGAACTCCCAAATCCTCCCAACCTAATGGCAGTGCGCTTGGAACACTTAACCCTACTCCTTAATCTACTCCTAACGATAATCTGATTGAGCTACTCACATGCTCTTTGATTAACATGGTATCAAAATTTAGTGATTCACTACCGAACAATGTCTTGCCCTTATTAGAACAGCTCTTAGAAACCATAATTAAAAAAAACTCCATATTCCCTCTCATCCCCCAGAATTCCATATTGTTGCCTCTAGAATTAATGATATATCATTTGTTTCTGTTTACATTCCCCACCCCAATCCTAACATCATTTCAAACTTAAGCTCTATCATCACACAGAAAGTTGGTTACCAAACTTTATTAGTAAATTATCTCCTCCTTATGTTCCGTTCCGTGACTTCCTTCCTACGGATTATTCTCATTCTTTTATATATCCAGATAAAATGAATG